CTCTCTCTCTCTCTCTCTCTCGTTCCTTTACTTTCTTGCAACACGTAAACAATCGAGGCCCAATTGCACCAACTCGATTCAACTTGTTCAGTGAATCGCCGTATCTCTGTAAATTAAGATTTTATCTTTAATGTGGGACGTTGCAATTCGCGTCCAATAACAGATTTTTAATAACAGACGAGAAAAATGTAAAGACACAAATGTAAAGCACTTTTCCATTATTAACGTATCATACACGTATAATCCGATTAGATTTTTTTAACAAAGAAGACGAATTTTTTCCCGTATCTTTTTATTATACAGACATTCGAACAAGCGGAATTTACGCTGAACTGCGCTCATGTAGTGCTCAAAGTTCCTCGGGATCGAGACGCCGACGTCTCCGACTTACATCGTATCACGCTTACGACGACAGGACACGCGTCACGACGACCCCGAGCGACGGATGCTGCGAGCGATCCGTGTAAATTCGGTATGCGTTCGGCTTAATGTATACCCGTGTCTATGTGCCTGTATATATGCGCGTGTGTGTATGTCCAGAGGATAGATGCATCAGGATGCAGCCATCCTGTAGCACCGTATGACTTGCGTGCACTCACACTTGCGCGTGTCTCTTCGTGTAATATAGGCCACGGCGGTCGTATATGTACTGTCTGTCTGTCTGTCCGTTTGTCTGTGTGCGTTTGTATGCGTATAGATGGATACGCGCGCGCGCGCGCGTGTGTGTGTGTGTGTGTGTGTGTGTGTATCGAATGTGTATGCATACGTGTTCGTGTACGTATATATGCGCGGGTAGCGTATCGTCGTGATTATCATCGATTGCCCGCGTTCCTCCCAGAGACGCGGACCCCGACATCGCATGGCGTCCCATGAAGAAAATCCACCGGACAACCTGAAGCTGCGAGTTACGAACGAGAACGGCGAGGGAGCGAAAGCTCCTCAGGCCGGAAGACTTTGATCGCAACGTTCTCGTTAGTTTTTCCTAGCCTCGATGAGGAAGCTTCCTCGTACTCGACGTAGAGTTGAGAGTTTCTTCTCTCTTTTTCTTCCTGTCTGTCCTCTCAATCTCTCTCTCTCTCTCTCTCTCTCTCTCTCTCTGTGCGCATTCCGTTGTACATCTTAATCACCTTTCCGATGAGGACTCGCGCGTGGATTCTCGAGTACAGATGCAAATGGAGGAACGTTACTACCTCGATCCTTCTATAGAATCCTACGTATTGGATCGTTATTACGCGCTTAAGGGTTGATGATTATCGACACAGTGCCTCTCTCAACTCTCGAGGCACGTGTAAATTGCACTTGCACCTGGTCTCGAAATTCCACTGTGAAGGAGATGATACACGCGTGATCTCGTACGCGGTAACTCGATACGATAAATTCGCCGTCCGAATATTTCGTCGGGACACCAGATCATCGCGAGTAACAGCACCTGTCGGCACGCGGACAGTAAAGGCTTTCTTCTCTTCGTCTCAAAACCCTTCCCTCTCGCTCCCTTTCCTCCTCCTATTCTTAACCCATTCGTTAAGCCCTCAGAGCGCTCTATTTTGTCTGCACCTGCGGATGCCGCGTGTCATGACGCGTCCGTCCCTCGGGGAGCAGATACGTTGGGAGACACGATTAGCGATAGCAATAATAGTAATAGTAGTAGTAATAGTATTAGTAAGAGTAGTAATATAGTATTACTAACGATAGTAGCGATAGTAGTAGAAGTAACGATAACGATAGTGATAAATAGTCGCGGGAGGAGTAGTAGTAGAAGTAATGGTAACGATAGGATCAGTTGTAATGGTGGTGATGGTAGTAGTAGTGGTAGTGGTAGTGGTAGTAATAGTAGTAATAGTAGTAGTAGTAGTAGTAGTAATAGTAGTAGTAATAGTAATAGCGGAGTGTGGTAAAAAGAGCGGAGGAAGAACGAAAGTGTCACAGAAGGTTTGTATCAGTGTACACCGTCAGTGTGACCGTTTGCATGTATGTATTTGCGTGTACATGTGTAATTGACGCGATAATAAATTAATGCGAAACAGAAAAAAGATGGCGGCTCCTCGAGAGTCGCCGGCCGGACGTCGAGCGCTCCAGAGGGTGGACGAGATTCCGTATTCGATCATGCCTCTCGCCCGCGCGCCTTTCCAGAACCCGCGGCATGTGACTCGCGCGAGCTGCGTTGACAAACGTCCATTGCCGCGGATTTTACTTGCCCTGCGGCGTTAGCGGATAGAAATCGATGAGATGACTCAACGACGTCAAGGTTGAGGGCTATGATCCCACGCACATCAACGATTCGTGCGTACTACTGCTGCTACCAACGTTGCTGACGCCGGCGCTACCGACGACGTTGCTATTGCCGCAGCTGCTGCCGCAACTGCTCCCCGATGACATCAAGTGTTGCTGTTGTTGTTGCTGCTGCTGCTGCTGCTGCTGCTGCTGTTGTTGCTGGTGTTGATGATGATGCTGGTGATGATGGTGATAATGATGGTGGTGGTGATGATGATGTTGTTCCTGGGTCGTCGTTGTACTTCTCAGGATGTCGTCCGTCGAAAGAGGCGTCAGCTTCCACCCGGGCATAAAGTCCAGGTCGAGATCGGGTCCAATGTCCACGTCCAGTAGTTCGTTGTTATTGAGCGGGTCGAGCGGCGACTGGCTCGATAAGGATAGCACGCTGCCCCAATTGATCGATCGGCTGTCGTCGCTGTCGCCGATGCCGGAGTCGACGTCGGTCTCGCTCGACGACGTGGGTGGCACAGGGAAAGGCGTTAACCTGCCCTGTTCGGGCGGTTGCAGTTGAGCGATCGGCGCCGGGACGACCGGCTCCATAGGCGGCGGACTCTTGTCCCTTTCCATTTCACGTTCCAGGTGTCTCAGAGTATTGCAGATCAGCACCGATCGGTGAAGACTCGGATCTGGAAACTGGCGGTACCTGGCGAGTTTGCACATAGAGATATTGAGCACGGCGAGTCGCCGCTGCCTGTAACAGGCTCGGCCGCGCCGGCACCAGCTCGACTTGGAACCTTCGCAACACCGTTCGTTCGCGCGGTAACTCGAACCAAGCTCCAAATAACTCTTGCCGTTCTCCTCGCGACGTATCGTCGGCGGCTCGTAATGATGAAGAGCGCCCCATTGCGGCTGAGATCTCGACAGCTGGCTATAACCGTTGCTGCCGATAGGACTAACGGTGGCGCGTTGATGATGATAGTAGTGCTGCGTATGGTGATGCAATTGCGTCACCGTAGACGAAGCCGATGTCGATGGTGACGCCGACGATTGTTGCTGCTGCTGCTGCTGCTGCTGCTGCTGTTGTTGCAATTGCTGTTGTTGCTGCTGCTGTTGCTGCTGTTGCGCCTGTTGCGGCGACTGGGAAGATGGATGATGCTGCGATGGATGTTGTTGGGATTGTTGCGGCTGTTGTTGCTGCTGCGACTGCGGGGAACTCGTCGTCGTTGACTGACACGGGTTCGTCGTCTGTAGACAGGGTGAGCTCACCTCCATCTCGTAATATGAGGTCGATGTCTGATTCAGAGGTGGCCCATAACCGTCGTCCATTGCCCACCAGCTACCGTCCACGCGTCCGAGCTTCGACGGACTCTCTCCTAAGTCCATGTGGAATTCCATGCAGCCGACACCACCCTCCAATTTGCGTTTTCCTGCCGTCGCCTGCAGACCCATCATTGCACAACTCTGAAAGCAACGCAAAAATCGTTAACATTAGTTCCACGTATCTCTTCTATTCTTTCGTGAAAAAAAAAAAAGCGCAACTAACTCTCAAATTATAATTCTATCATTTTGCGCATTGTGCGACCGAGATTCTCAAGGGTCGGCCGTTATCTCGACGTATTCGTCGGTGTTGATGCAACAAAGTCGAATGAGCGCGCTTAGCGCGACGCTCGGAGGCGAGAGAGTAGGCAAGAGAGGACGTGACTCAGACGCTCGGCACTCCGTTGGAGCGATGGAAAAAGTGACGTCACGCGACTCCCTAGCCCTGCCTGGAAGAAATCATCAGCGGAACGCGGACGATCGCTCGCTGGCGAGCGGACCCGGCCCCAGACTGCCTTCCAGCGGCAGTATCTCTCGGAAACGGAGAAGCTCGTAAACGGGACAAAGAGAGGCTATATCTAATTTTTCGATCTTCAATTTTACAAGAATTTTACTGCTGCAAAACACTGCTGGGGAACGAAATCTTTTCTACTTTTAAGTGAAAGGCAAAGTTTTAAGACATCTCGGAGTTATCGAGTTCAATTCGATCAAAAACTTATCTTTCTTATTAGATACCGCCGGTTCTCTCTCGTCTTGTTTGTTTAATAATGAAAGTCGCACGCGTTCTCTCGCGCGGGCCGGGAATGAGGCCGAGACAAGAGAACGCCGGGATTATAATTTCTCCAGGTCTCGTCGTCGATCGTAGGGCGGGTCGAACTCGCGTGCGTATCTCGGCGCCGCGGACCCTACGAAAGCGGTACCCACGCAGCCCGTGGATGATTTACGCGCGTACGAGGTCGCGCGAGTGAAAGTAAGTAAATAATCGTTCCTCCCTCCAAGCCCTTGCTCACCTCGGGAGACGGAGAGACGCGTTTCTCCGTTGGTGCGAGCGAGAACGCGCTCTCGCGAGCGTGAGAAAGAGGGGCCGGGAGTAGGGGGAATTAGAAGGGTGAGAGGATGAAGAGCATGAGAGAGAGAGAGAGAGAGAGAGAGAGAGAGAGAGAGAGAGAGAGAGATGAGGGTGGGAGGGGAATGTATCGCCGCGATAGCGTGCTTGGTTGTGCTCGGAGATGCCGTGAGATGTCACCGGCGACACGTTTGTCGGCTGGCCGAGTCCACGTGGCCTCCACATGACGTTTGATTTCACGGAAAAAGGATAGAGGGGAAAAGAGCGAGAGAGATAGATACACCGAGAGACAGAGATTTCGCTCGGGACTACCCCGAGAGGAGAACTGAGACGAAAAAGTAACGGTCGACGCAAGGTCGACCGAAAGGGGTAATGTTTGGCTCCTCGGACACACGGACGCGTGAGATACACGAAACGAAGACAGAAGACGCGAGTCTCTTCTCCTTTCTGCCTCTCCTTCTCTCATAATCGCGCGATTAATCTCGTTACCGAAGTCGATTATCGTCTCTTTGACTTTCCTCGCTCGACTCGATTATAGAGCGAATTGCCACTTACCAAACTTCGATAATTCGCGCAACTTTCATAAATTCGCATTAGAAATAGTTGCGGATACTATTTCTATACTGAACGTTTCCAACTTACGGCTTATCAAGTTTAAAGTATCCTTTTTTTCTTCCTCTGAGGAAAAAGGCGCGTCCTTCCTTTTACGCGATACGCGCGACTCCTGAAACGCGACAACTGTAGAAATTATTCCGCAGCGTCTCGATAATCGAGATAGCCTTCGGCTTAACACTTGCGCGCTTAAGCGGTATCTACAATGAGATTTTAAGGCGTAAGATTCGAGAAATTGGCCAATCATAATCGATCTATAGAAGAATAATCTTACCTCTTAAAGTCTCTATTATAGACACCTCTTTCTCTTTCTCGTCTTTCCCGAAAAATCGGAAACCGCCGTGGCGTATATCTTTTCATAAGCCAAAACTGATAAGAAGTTGCTACGAGGCGCTCGTCGTTCCGCTGTGCTGGGCGGCCAGCGAAGTATTAAGTTTCATTAATTTTCATATGCATAGGTGTATATTATTCGACCGCGCTGGCGGGCCGCTCGCGACGAATAAAAACAACGACGAATAAAAACAACGACGCCGCGTCGCGCTTGTGACGTTTCGCAAGCGAGAGAACGGGGGCGACCTAATAGCTCGGGGTACAAACGTCACTGCGTTTCCATCGAACGCGGCTTCCGCACGTCGGATTACGAGCCGCGCTGAAGCAGACTCCGGGCTGCGGCGAACGTTGGATAGACCCACAAGGCACTTGCGCTCTAAAAGCCGATGCGAAATAAGAAATTTCAAACCCGATAAAAAATCGAAGAAGCGACCGAATGGATTTCAAACTCTCTTCGCGATTTGATTATTTTTTTATTCTCCCTATATTACGCGCTGGCGTAATCCTTTCGTCCTGTTCGGCCTCTCGCGGCCGAAGGGGCACGTGGATTTCCGCGTAATTTTATATACTCGATCGAGAGCGACCCAGTTCTTCGTCTTATCGGTCAAGACGGCGGACCTCGCACCGCCGAGAGTTTTCTACTCCCAGCCACGTGGTAGCTACGTCCCTGGCATGACTCGAGTGTCTCTAGCGAGCAACGGCTCGCTCTTACGACCGCGCACATCCGCCGGCCGTAGCGGCCTACTTGGAATATGACTCGCTCGCGGAGATTCTCCTTCCAACGCGACGTGGTCAACCGGTCAGCTTCGAGCTCCGAGGAACGTTCGTGGAATCAACGCGGAGGAAAAACAACGCGACGGATCTAATCTCGCCTTCGAGCGTCGAGAGAATGACGCCAACTCTTTACCAAACAACTTTTCTTTCTTTCTTTCCTTTCCTTCCTTTTTTTTTTTCTTCTTAAACTAAAAGTGACATTCGGACTGGGACTTTAGTCCACTTTACGCGAGTCCTCGAGTAGAGGATCCAAGTTAAGCGCGATAGGCAAATTTGTGACGAATGAACGTAATTAGATGATCGTTTCGAGAATGTATCTTGAAAGCTTCGCTGCTTGGAACGATATCGATTGTACTTCGCTTACTATCAAATAACGAGCATCTATGATGTGATAGTTTTATTTCATCCATCGCGCTTATCGCTGATAAACTGTGCCGCGCGAAGAATACAAATCGCTCCGTATTGTACGATCCGCAAGGTTTCAGATTATCGCGTAAGAACACCGCGTTTCTACCCCGTAGCGAATGAATCTCTCCGCAGAGAATCCGTCGCCCCCGCGTACCGTGGAAAGTGCGTTGGGAGGGAGACAAACTCGCGAGAGAGAACGAGGGTGTAACGCGTAACACGCGGGTTAATAATTTCGTCGATCGAAACTTCGCCGTTGTGTTTCTCGATTATCTTCCACGGGGGAAGGGTACGTACTCGGGGGGGGGGGGGTACATACTTGAAAATTTCGGCGAAACTTGGCGAACGGGGCGCGCGCCCGACTGCGGATGCGGCCGTAATCTCCGGCCCGTAGTCTCCTCCTCTTACGTGCGATATTTGCGAAGCGTGACCGGGCACTTGTTGAATCGACAACGGGAACGGGGGAACAAGAGGACCGGGGGGGAGGGGAGGAGGGCAACGGAGAAAGGAGGCACGAGAGAAAGAGAAAGAGAGAGAGGGAAGGCAAAGCGTAGAGAATAGTGCGGGAGAAAGGGGCAGGAGAGACGGATGGACGGTGAGAGGTAAGATGGTTAGGGAAAGGAGGAAGCACGGGGAAAGAGGGGAGGGGGGGGAGGAGAGGGAGAGGAGGGACAAAGAGGTACAAAACGCGTGAGAGGAGGAACGGAGAGGGTGACCGGTGCGAAAGAGGGTCAGGGGTGATTGAGGAGAACGAGGGTGAGACGACGCACAGATGGGACAATAAGGGTGAGGGAGGAACGGGGGAAGGAAATACACTGGAAAGGATTAGTTGTACGTGGCGATAATATGCGGTTCTTAACCGACCGTAAATCAGAGTTGAGAGTGGCGCCACGCCCCGACGCTCCTTTTCCATTTGTGAAATCCTCGCGAGTTGCATCTCGCTTTGTAAATCTCTCGACTCCGCGACCATTCAATTTGCGGGAATTAATATTGGACTTTTAAGGCCTCATGATGTCACGGATCAAAGGTGACAATTGTCCCGCGACGTATCACCGGAATTTGATTCTTTTTCCTTGTGTAGATCGATTCTCTTTCTCTCTCTCTCTCTC